AACTCTATCATACCAGGTCAAAATGTTTTAAAATCTGAATCTACTTAAATGCATAGTTTTCAGCCTCCTGTATAAAAAGTCACCCATCAGAAAGAAGAGTCAGGATCTCACCAGAACTTGGTTGATTTTTGTTTTCAGAGCATTGTCAAGAGAGTGAAATGCTGAAGCTTACGTACTGAATCAAAAGTCACAGGTGGAACATAACCCAGATCTTGTAGGCGTGACATATTGTCTGGATAAATAAGTGAAATCCTGTAGGTCGCAGCTTTGCTTGGTTTGATTTTCGAAGATGGGTTGGAAGTCTTGGAAATAAGAAGGAAAAGGGATATAGATGTATTGGGGTTTAATTTTGTTTTTGTTCTTACCAGAACTGTATAAATCTGTTTTGGGGCCCTGAGGCTAGTGGTACAACAACGCTGGCCCTGCTGAAAAGATCCTGCCATGGGAAGTTAGTAAATATAGGCTGGCTCTCTGCAGCACTACTAAGCACTGGACAGCGTTGCTTCTGTGCAGATGCAGAGAGCAGCAATGGTACCCAAAAGGCTGCTTCCCTGGAGGATAAATCATGCTCCAAGAAGGAAACTGCTTCTTCGGGGAATGGTTTTGCCACCCCACTAACACTTACCCCTCCCACAACATGTTGTATGAGTGGATGCCACAATTGTGTCTGGATTGCTTATGCAGAAGAACTTCTGAAATACTACAAGGATGGTGGCGAGCAGGCCTTGGCAGCTGTGGAGAAACATATAGAAGATGAAAATATTAAAATGTTCCTGAAGATGGAAATTAAGTTCCGTATGAAGAAAGATTGATATTTTTGACTGGATGCACATTTATTATATGGTTTCAGGACTATACAAGACTTTGAAGAGGAAAAGCTAATTATTTATGGTTCCTTCTGTAAGAGATGATGTGTTTTATTTTATATAAAGAGTTCTAATGATCGCACGTCTATTATTGTATTACTGACTTCTTTTAAAATTTAATCTCTTTAAACCAGAGGGATATTATTTGGTATGACTTGCTATTTTCATAAACTGGGTTTGTGCTTCACATGTTTTCGGAATGTCAAACTGATCTCATGGTTGGCATTGTAGCAAAGGAGTTCTGATTTAAATGGGCAGCTAGGAACAAATAGATCCCTTCTTTGTCACATAAATATGTGCCAAATTTGAATAGCAACGTCTTTTAGTAGAAAATTAGGATCACTCATGCAGTGAATCAGCATCCTTTTCAGTGTGGTTGCTGAACAAGCTATAATGTGTTTATAGATAACCCTAAGCCTTAAAGGTTGAGTTTATACATTATGCTAAGCTAAAAATAAACTGGCCCCATTAGGATCTTGCATCATGTCTAAACCAGACATACAAGATGTTCCCCGGAGATTTATTTATATATTGACCAGACCTAGTTTTACGTTTGTTAGTGTATCTTTGCCTTCAGATCACAGCCCTGGATAACTCCTTTAGGATCCATTAATCTCGTTTCCCCATCAGCTTGCTGAAATGCAAAAGCTCCTGGGCTAACTCTTAAGTCACTCTGAATAGCTATAAAATGCTTACATTGCTGCTCTGTGGTAAAAAGAAATATCTGCTCCATCTGCCAGCAGGTATGATACTGCAGAACTGAAGGAAAGTATAGTCTGAACTTTGCAATTTACCATGACTCTAAATACCATTGCAGAGCCGTACCTCTAGCTCACAGGAAGATCACCACAGCCAGCTGGTTGACTGGCTGGCCAGTGAGGAGCCAATCCGGCCTCATCTATCATCTAGGGCAGTGGTTCTCAACCTTTTTAATGCCGCGACCCCCCAACTGGTCGTAAGTCGAGGACTACTCAACCGGTCGTAAGTCGAGGACTACTCAACTGGTGCAGCACCGTTTGCAGAATGGGACTTTTGGCGGGCTCAGCAGGGCAGAGACAGCCTGGACAATTCCTATTGGCTTTTGAAAGCCAATAGAATTAGACTCTATTCAAGAGAGTCTATTCTATTGGCTTTCAAAAGCTAAGAAAAAGGAAAAAATGGCGGACTGCATTGTTTGGCGACCCCCGTGAAATGGTCGTTCGACCCCAAATGGGGTCCCGACCCACAGGTTGAGAATCACTGATCTAGGGCAGGGGTCTTCAAACTTGGCCCTTTTATGGCTTGTGGACTTCAACTCCCAGAATTCCTCCTGGCTGAGGGATTCTGGGAGTTGAAGTCCACAAGTCAAGAGGGCCAAGTTGGAAGACCCCTGATCTAGGGAAGAATCTATTATTCCATTCTCTTTCCCCTTTTCCGTCATTTCTATTAGAGGCTGAAAACAGGAGTAGGCTTGTTTTTCGTATCTTCATAAGACTTAGAATGTTACGAATATTTTAGGTGAATAATAATGATCGTGTACACTATATCTATGAATCAGTTCGGTATAGGAGTTAAAGCACCAGGCTAGAAACCAGGAGGTTGTGAATTCTAACCCTGCCTTGGGCACAAAGCTAGCAGGATGACCGTGGTCCAGCCAGTATTTCTCTTAGCCTTAGGAAGGAGGCTTTGGCAAACCACTTTCGAAAATCCTTGCCAAGAAAACTGCAGGGACTACTCCAGGCAATCACGAAGAAGACAATATTGATTCAAAGGTGCACCTGTACTCACAAAGTACATTATAGACTACTTCCAGATGGTTGTGTTGGCCTGCTGTCATGTCTGAATGCAGCTATCTTCTGTATATTTTTACTTAGAGGCGCACTGCACACAATTCCATCATCTGCACACTACTCTCCTTAATAAATCTTGATTTTCATTTTGATGTGATATTAATGCAATGGCCTTTTATAGAGCAATATTTATTTTCCATACATGCTGCCTTTTCTCCAAGTTAGTAAGACCTCCGCACAGTATATAGACAAAGTTTGTACATCCACATTAAGTGATAATGTGGTATCTGGTTTTTGCTAAGTACAGTTTGTGTAACCAGCGCACTTTGTTGTATGCCACTTTTGGTGAGATGGAAAGCTATGATTGAGTAGAGAGTAGAGTAGAGTAGCGTAGCATATTGGCCAAGTGTAATTGGACACACAAAGATAGACAGACAGACAGACAGACAGACAGTCTTAAGCATTTAGCATATTTCATCCATTTAATCAGTAAATCATGACTAAACACACTAAGCACACTGGTAAATCACAAACGTAGTTATGTTGGGAAGATTAGTCTGAGAGTAATTAAATTAAGCTCATCTGGGAGCTTCACAGCCAAGCATGGAACTGAACTGAAGTGACTGCAGAACTAGGTATTAGTGTACATTACACTCTAAATTTGTTTTTATCTAGTGCTTTTGTTTTCTTTCCCCTATAGTATTTATAATAAGATCTTGTTACAGGATTGCTGTGTCATCCGATGCAAGATAGTAAGGACATACTTTATCCATGGTTACTGCCTGATTAGCCACAGTCAGGCAGCCATGACTTTTATTTATGAAGTCCTTACACCCGCTCTATTGTCAGTATTAGTCATGGGTGAAAAAATTGAATGGCTTACACTGCCATCTACATTTTTCCATAAAGGGTCATCAGTGGAAAATAACTTTGGAAGATCTTAGCTGTCAACTACCTTTGCTATAATTTTCAAGACAACTTGTTTCTTGCTTTTCAGAAGGACTGTTATGGGATGGATTGATTCATGCAATAAACCAATTAAGGTTTAGCAGGATATCTGAACACATCCATTGGTAGATCATGACTTATATCCCAATTGTAGGAATCTAATCAATGGTGATTGATTCAGTACACCCTGGTTAAGCCAAGCATACTGTACTGTTTTGAATGAATAAGTTACAGACAAGGCATCTGTTGGCTTTTTATAGGCAGAGAAAGAAGAAAACCCAAAGCTCGTGTCCTTGATTGTAAAGCAAAGGAGGGAGATGAGTTCTTGCTATCAATGGTTATCACTTGCCCTAACCAAAAAAAAAAAAAAAAAAATTCCCCCCAGCTTAGCCAGATTTCTGCCTTGAAAGCTTTAAAGAGTAAATATTCAGATAAAAATAAAAATTAGCAGGAAATTAACTGCACCTGTTTCAATTTGTTCAAAAGATCTGTTTGATAAGCTGGCAATCTTAGCATGATAATGGTTCCTTCTAACTGGAATAATCTGTCGTGGTCATACTGACTATTCTCATTTGCAAAATCTCTGAGCCCCATTTCAGAAGATAGTCGAATGGCTGGAATTTAGGCATTTTTAATTGGTTTGTCTTACCTGCTGTTCATATGTAGGGAAACAAGCTGTCCTTGCAGTTTTCTCTGTTTGCCAGAATCACAGTAACTCTGTTATCTCCCTTCCTAGCTGCTTTCTCTGAAATTTTCAGGGTATAGAAAAAATTGCCACGGATTCATTTATGGTGCTAGAAAATGAAAGTGGGCTGGGGAGTTTTTGTTTCTCAACTCAATACAGGTGAATATTTAAAACCTGTCCCTGTAATATTGTTTCAAATTTTTAAAATATTTAATGTAATATTTAAATAAATAAAAAATAATAGAATTATACAACGTTATACAAAATATGCAAGTCATCCTCAACTTACAACCATTTGCTTCAGGACTGTTTAACGACAATGCTAAAAGTGACTTAAAACTGGTCCTCACACTTATGAATGTCGCAGCATCCCTGGGGTCAAGTGCTCAACATTTTGGTGCTTGGCAACTGGTATGTATTTACGATAGTTGCCGCAAGTGGTGGGTCACATGATTGTCACTTGCGTCCTTCCCAGGAAGCTTCAATGGGGGAAGCTGCATTCACTTAACAACCCATGGCAAAATGGTCATAAAGCTGAGTGCAACTCACTTAACAATGGTATCGCTTAGTGACAGAAGTTCCAGTTCATTTGTGTGTGTAAGTCAGTAGCTATTTGTATGATTAATTCCTCTCCCTGACCTAAGCACATGACCTATAAACAATGTATCTGTAAAGGAAGGATGATACTGGATTAAAAACAAGAGTCATAAACCTATTATGAGGAATATAATACATTGTAACACCTCTGAAGCCTCCAGAACAAGCTTTGACCAACTACAGTTACATATTATAAAGGCTGAGTCACATAGACTGGCTATCATTAAGACTTGCGACAGGGATTTGAGTGGGTGCATCTTTCACATCTGGTAAGTAACAGAAAGTTTGTATCAGTTTTTAGAAACCAGTCAATTTATTCCACCCACTTTCCAGCTGTTATGTTCATCTGGAGCTAGTTATGGCTGTATTCCTGGAAAGCAATATCCATCTGCAAGGAAAAGATGCATGGGGTGGTTTTTAAACAACACCAGTTTGGGCAAGTCACCGTTTTAATCTTACTTTTCTCCTAGGATAATGAGCATGAATGTGTTACGCATATTTAAAGGAGACGAAATGCAAGTCTAAATGCAAATGAGACTGAAGTTCCATGGAAGAATTGGAGTTCAGCTATCAAAGCTTCTACAGTTTTTGGTAGCATGAGAACAGCATTTTGGTAGGATAATTAAAATAGTGGACTTTGGTTATATTCATGGATGTGAGAGAAACAGCAAGGTTTGAAAAATATTACTAAGTTTCCAAGAAAAAGTGAAAATGTAAGCTTTTGCAAAGGTGGTACATTGCAGGTAGATTGGGACTATTATTTTATAGTTGTGTTCTTAGTCATGGAAAATGCCCGGGGAGGAGGGAGTGGAAGGCAAATTCTTCTGAATTTAATTGCCAGATGAATTGTGGAATCCATAGCATTTTATCCTCAAAAGGTAACATTGCTCTTGCAGGGCTAAATTTATCAAGATGGGTGATAGAACAGCTTTGAGAAAATTAATACAGAGAACAGCAACAAATATGATTAGGGGACTGGAGGCTAAAACATATAAGGAATGGTTGTTGGAATTGAGTATGTCTAGTTTAACAAAGAGAAGGATGAGGGGGGACATGACAGCAGTGTTCCAATATCTCAGGGGCTGCCACATAGAAGAGGGGATCAAGCTATTCTCCAAAGCATCTGAGGGCAGGACAAGAAGCAACGGATGGAAACTGACCAAAAAGAGAAGCAACCTAGAACTAAGGAGAAGTTTCCTGACAGAACAATTAATCAGTGGAACAACCTGCCTCCAGAAGCTGTGAATGCTCCAACACTGGAAATTTTAAACAAGAGATTGGATAGCCATTTTTCTGAAATGTTATAGGGTTTCCTGCCTGAGCAGGGGTTGGACTAGATAACCTCCAAGGTCCCTTCCAACATTATTATTATTATTATTATTATTATTATTAGTAGTAGTAGTAGTAGTAGTAGTAGTAGTAGTAGTAGTAGTAGTAGTAGTAGCTGATGAAACAAACAAAGAAAATCCTTTTCCATCCAGGGAACAAGCCTAAAACTATTTTGTGGGTGGAGCACTCTAATCAGATTAACATCTTTTCAGGGATTTGCATGTGAACCTGAGAAGTGTCACCCTGGATGAGATTAATGTTGTTTTTTTCCCATTGTTCTATCTGGATGGCAGCCAATATAACCAGTGCAGAATTGCCCAAAGTAAAACCCCTAGATCTGTTGAGGATGTGTCTCTGCACCAAAGCAAATGCAAAGGTTCATTAAATCCAGTCTTCCTCCAGAATGATGCCCAATAGCCCCACCACCACCATTACTGCTGTATTGTGCCTGACAAGTGGGCTGTCTGCACAACAACTATAGGCAACAAGTTTAGCATAGGACTCTTTGGTGAAATATTCTTCTAGTATCTTATTGTATTGTTCCCCTCACACTCATTTCTAGTGATGGATATGGAAACAGAAAGCATTAAGTGATCACAAGGCAACAGGAAAATGTTCGAGCAAACCAGATCTTAGCAGTGTCGAGAAAAAAACCCAGATATTTTCTTTATCCCGGCTTGTTTTTTTTAATTGCTTCTGAAATTTAGTGTTTTCAGAAGAAATGGTACTTCAGCATCAGGGTTGCATACATAGGCCCCAACCCAAAAATATACAGTGAACCTTTCCAGTCACATAATTAAAGCAAAGGACAGTCAGTATATCACCTGTAATCACTTCCCACAGGGACAGATCCTATGGAGTGGAGAGGATGAGGAGAATTTATGCAATCAATTGTTATTTCATTATGTAACCTTAGTGCATGGCTGGGTTCACACATATGGTATGCCATGAACTTCTCTGTTGATTTCCATTGTTCAGGTCTTCAGAATCATAGTGCTGCAAGGGTCCATTGAGGTCCTTGAGTCCAACTCTCTGATTAGCACAGAAATCCAATTTAAAAACATTCCAGATGGATAGTTGCTTAGCTTGTCCTTCAACACATTCAATGGATGAATGAATGACATCAATCACCTCTCAGTTGACTTGCTCTCACTGTTCAGAAACACTTTCTAATGTTTAAGTGGATTTGCCTTCTAACAATACATTCCTTGAAGAGATGCGAACAGAGGTGACATATTTCAACTGCATCTAATGATAGATTCTAATTATTTTTCATGTTTCTTTTCTATCTAACAGATTAAGCCACGCGAATCAGGAGGGGCTTTTGTTAAAAATAGACATTCTTCTTTCATTCCAGCCATGAGCCATGAAATTCCAAAACCAGAATTCAAATCTGCTACCAGGGTGACCGGGGGGCCTGTCACTCCCAGGAAAGGCCCTCCCAAATTCAAACAGAGGCAAACCAGGCAGTTCAAGAGCAAGCCACCAAAGAAAGGTGTTCAAGGGTGAGATACAAAGTGTTATTTTGCAGAAAGAAAGGAGTTCACTTTCTTCTAGATCAAAGCTGAGTTCTAGCCCCATCTGGCCCTTCCAGAGCCGTGCCCACAACTATCATTCAATTGTAATGTGTAAAGTAAGAGAGAAAAGAAAGAAATACAGGTGGTCCTCGACTTTCAACCATTTCATTTAATGACTCTTCGAAATCACCACAGCACTGAAAAAAGTGATTTATGACCATTTTCCACACTTATGGAGAGGCTGCATGGTCCTGTGATCAAAATTTGGGTATTTGGCAAGTGGCATGTATTTGTGACAGTTGCACTATCACCATGTGTAACCTTCTCAGCTGGATTCTGACAACCAAAGTCCATAGGGAAGAAAGATTTGCTTAACAGCCAGACAATTCCCTTAATAACTTCAGTGATTTCTTTCGTAACTGTGGTTAAAAAAAAAAAAGGTCATGAAATGGGGCAAAATTCACTTAACTGTCTTGCTTAGCAATGGAAATCTTGGGCTCAGTTGTGGTTGTAACTCCAGGACTACCAATAGAGAGGAAATAATTGTATAATGTAATGTAATCGATTTAATTGAAATATTGTATAACCATAGTTCTTGTTTTGATCTAGTTCAGTAGTTCTCAACCTGTGGGTTGGGACCCCATTTGGGGTCGAACGACCATTTCACGGGGGTCGCCAAACCACGCTGTCCGCCATTTTTTTCCCTTTTCCCTAGCTGTCCTACTCCCTCTTATTGGTGGCCACACCCACTTGGGGGTCACCACAACATGGGGAACTGTATTATGGGGTCATGGCATTAGAAAGGTTGAGAACCACTGATCTAGTTCTTTAATTGAAATATTGTATAACCATAGTTCTTGTTTTGGAGTAGAGGGAGAGTTCAAGTGCTGTCTTTGCACCCTAAAAATGTTCTAGACCCTAAAACCAATCATAACCACCTTTAATCATCATTATTAGAGACAATACTCCTCCCTTGGGCTCGGCCTGTTCATCTCCTACAGTTATCAGTGATCCACTTAACAAATGTGGCAAGAAAATTGTGGTTGTAATTCAAGGACTACCTGTACGTATTGGTTAGATATCTGTGTGAGTGTGTCCCTAATCAGCATAGCTACAGACCAATTCCCGAACTTTCTTACATTATTTTCTATCATTTTGTTCTGTCAAAAACAAACGCTTTTCTTAATCACCCAACCTACGTGCAACTGAATAACGAGGTAATAGTCCCACATGATCGTGCATGGAAGCCAATTTTTTAGGAAAACAAGTTTCTTTTTCTTTTGCAGGTTTGGTGATGACATTCCTGGTATGGAAGGCTTGGGAACAGGTATGAAGGATTACATTACATTAACTGAAGTGCTGATTTGAGAAAATCAGGCTCCTGCAGGTTCCTTGCAATTTATCTTTCTCGGCTCTGCTATGGGCAGGTCCAGCTGTTTCAGCCACAGCTGGGATAGTTTGGGCAATGTCACAATTCATATTGAAACATTTCTACTGTTAGAGGCTTGCTTCCTTCGTCTAAATTTTATCAGCCACCTGGATAGTTTACTGTGAATTCCTTGTTCCTATTATTTTAATCTCTGTCTATATTTTGGAAATTATATTTCTGTTCCTTTTTTTTATAACAAGCATTCTCTGGACAGGTTGCATAAAAAGGATATAATCCACAATAGATATTTACCTATTTGTCTTAGGAAGTATTAACTTTAGAACAGTGATGGCGAACCCTGAGTGCCCAAACTGCAACCCAAAACCCACTTATGCATCGTCGAGTACTGGGTGGGTGTGGCCCATTGGCTGGGTGTGGCCCATTGGCTGGGTGTGGCTGTGGTGGTAACGGCAGACTGGATGGGACTAAAAAGTTCAATCAATCAATTCCAACTTTGCAAGATCTTTTTAATCTTTTTTTTTTTTTTTTTTTTTGCACACAGTGGCGGAGGCCTAAAACGAAAAGGTTTTATAAAACCCAGCTGAAGGCCTAGGACTGGGGCAATGGCATGTGTGCCCACAGAGAGGGCTCTGAGTGCAGCCTCTGGCACCCGTGCCATAGGTTTGCCACCACTGCTCTAGAACATGCTCCAAAAAACAGGGAAATACTGCCTAGTAGGCAGATTTAGGCACAGCCAACAGCATTCCACCAACTCCTCTTAGTGATTTATATGATTATTGGTAGCATCTCTAGACCAGCAGGTGCAAAAAGGATAGTTTCAGCCAGATTGCTTTCATGGGTGTCCTCATATTTTCCCCTCAGGATTTTTTTTCATCCAGGATTGCAACAGGAGCATTGTATTTATCCAACTTCAAGTAGTTCTTACACAGCATTTGGCTTCTGGGGGACATTAGGGAAGGATCACCCTACAGGAAAGTAAACGGCTTCAGCGGCAGCAGTTCAAAAAGTATCTGAGATGCTTTTACTCTTGATTATCAGACAGCCACAAGTCTTGGCAGAGAGGATGTGTGTACCTAGCACAGAAGATCCACTTGGATGGAGCCTAGCAGCACTAAGCTGCATGTGGCGCATCTTTTCTTTTTATCCAACTTTTTATTTGTACCAGTGTAAAGGGGCCAGACTGTATGATTTGTATTTTGCAGTAACATGTAGAGACAAACAATACACCAAAAGCTGTTTTGGCATGTGTGAGAATGTGAAAGTAGCACCTCTCTGAGCACCTTGTCGCAAATGCTGTGTTTGTGCTTTTGCGTGCTTAAGTATCTTTTGGAGGCTGGATCCAAAGCATTGTATAGACCTAGGAATACTATAAGCATCTACCTGGCTATCATCCTATTCCAAAAATGGTAGCAGAGGTGCAAATACCTCTGTTATTGTTTTCCTCTCATAAATGCCTATAAAAGCACTTTGTTTGCAGTTGGTTTTATGCTACCCAAAAAGCTATGCGTCACTTAAGCACTGTTAATATATAAACCAAAATTCGATGGATTCACACAATCCACGGGCCACGATTACACATTAAGCTTCAATGCACATGAACAAAATCTGCATCTTCAAGAGGTCCAGATTAGTCTGTCTGCTTTCTAAAATGTCCTTATTTATTTGGCTGGCGATAACTGCTGTAACCCATTTGATTCTCTATCCTTTTGAATATGGAATATGGAAGTAATGAATTGCCATATGTATGTAATATCTGCACTGATATTTAGGTCAGATGGCAATGACTGTAGCTCTCAGTACCATTCCAAAGGACTCAAAGACTGATTATGATCCCATTCCATTGTCTGATTTTTTCAAACACCTGACAAGCTTTGAAGACATCTTCATGTCATCAGAAAGCTAATGCTGGCAAGAAGCAATAAGGGTTGAATTAATGTGGGCTCTCCTCTCTTTCAGATATCACTGTGATCTGTCCCTGGGAAGCTTTCAGCCACCTGGAGCTCCATGAACTGGCACAGTATGGTATCATTTGAAGACGTAGAAGCCAGAAACAGGCCGGATACATGCCTTTCATTCAGCAAAGCAAGAACAGTTCATGAGCATTCCCATTATCCATATTCCTAGCCCTGCATATCCACTCTCCCAGTGGTAGCCTGTTGGGGCCTATAGCAATTGCTCATTAAAATAAAATCCAAGTGAATACGTCTTAGACTTGGTTTCATACTATTGTCCTTGCACTGATTTCACCCCCTCAATTAAACATTTGCAAAAAAAAAATCACAATGAACCAGAAAAATGACTTCATTTTATATGCAGTAAGTTCCAAATTTTACGTCCATCATTTTCTTCTAATCTTTTTTTTTAATCCTAGTGTTTCCCCCCCCCACATGTGCAGGGTCTCCCCACCCCCTTTTATTCTAGATCAGGGGTCCTCAACCTTGCCAATTTTAAGACTTGTGGACTTCAACTCCCAGAATTCCTCAGCCAGCTTTGGGAGTTGAAGTCCACAAGTCTTAAAGTTGCCAAGGCAAAGCTGGCTGAGGAATTCTGGGAGTTGAAGTCCACAAGTCTTAAAGTTGCCAAGGCAAAGCTGGCTGAGGAATTCTGGGAGTTGAAGTCCACAAGTCTTAAAGTTGCCAAGGTTGAGGACCCCTGTTCTAGATCTTCTGAATGTCCATTGGTTGCAACAGGAACTGACTGTTTGTTGCCTGAGCTTGACATCATGGGCTGAAAGAGAGTGACTGATCCAAAATCACCCAGCTGGCTTTCATGCCTAAAATGGGACTAGAACTCACAGTTTCCTAATTTCTAGCCTGGTGTCTTAACCACTAAACCAGACCAGGGGGTGTCAAACTCACAACTTCACGTGACGTGTCACGACATATCGTGTTTGACACCCCTGTTCTAATCTGTCCCTTGGATTATAAAAACGTTAAGCAGAAGTTGACCTTACTGAAAACTACTGTAATAATCCTTGCTAAGATAAGATGCCAGTAACTAAAGGTCCAGGAGATGGACTGCAGTGGTGAAACTTTAAGATTTAAAAGAAATCTGAATGATTATAGGTTTACAATTACAGAAAATAAGAATATTGAAAATTTTAATGTGCTGCTCCTGTATATATTGGAGAGGAAACTTTCAAATTAAAAACTAAGAATAACCATAAGAAAGTGTTTTGGACAATTTGGATATTTATTTAAATGAAACTCTAGTTACTCTTCAGTGGAAGAGACATACTTTCAATGAATTCAATAGTGTTTACTTCTAGATAAATGAATACAGGATTCCAGCCTCAGTTTCTCTACTACACATAAAGTCATTAGGTTTTAGAAGGGATGTCTGTACTGTTGCTACGTAACAATTGATGCATTTAATTCTGTGGGCCAAAAACAATTGATTATAGACATTAAAATATGACACAGAATATATTTAAGAAGGAAAGCATTATATATAAAATTAATGAAGAACCAAAAATATTTACAACCAGGACTGGATGAAGCATATGAGGAAAGTATTATATTAATGCAATATGTCTTTGTGAAGCTCATCTTTGGTAAGATCACACTTGGAATACTGCAACCAGTTTTGGTCATCATGATATGAAAAAAAGATGTTGAGACTCTAGAATGAGTGCAGAGAAGAGCAACAAAGATGATTAGGGGGTTGGAAGCTAAAACATATGATGAACGGTTGCAGGAACTAAATATGTCTAATCTAATGAACAGAAAGACCAGGGGTGACATGATAGCAGTCTTCCAAAATTTGACGGGCTGCCACAGAGAGGGTCAACTTATTCTCAAAGCACCTGAAGGCAGAACAAGATGTTACAGATGGAATCTTATCAAGGAGAGAGAGCCAAACTAGAAATAAGAAGAAATTTCCAAACAGAGAGAACAATCAGTGGAAAGTCTTGCCTCCATAAGTTGTGGGTGCTCCCACACTGGAGGTTTTAAGACAAGATTGGACAGCCATTTTTCCAGAATGGCATAGGGTCTCCTGCTTGAGCAGGGGGTTGGACGAGAAGACCTCCAAGTTCTCTTCTTACTCTGTTATTCTGTAAGTGGGCATATGGCAAAGTACTGGCATTTGTGCCCTTTGCATTTGGCCGCTCAGTATCTCCTCAGTGGAGATCTGCTACAATATGCAACTCTGAATTGCTGTACTTTCACTTCAGAAAAGTGGGAGAAAGAGTCAGAAGGGACAAAGTGTCTTTGCTGCTTCTTATTTTGGAAACCTGTACTTGAATTGGAAGTGGTTCCATATCAAAATCAGAAACGACTGACTTTGAGAAATGACTGTGAATAATTAGTTGCTAGATTTATAGGGGAATGGCCTGGGTGTAAAGGTCTTCTGCTACATTATTCCTCTTTTTCTGACCATGTTTACAAGTATAGCAGCTGAGTGTGCAGAATGAAGAGGTGGCAGGAATGAACTAGGACAGGGGTAGGCAACCTTGGCTCTTTTATGACTCGTGAACTTCAACTCCCGGAATTCCTGAGCCAGCATGGCTCAACATGGAAACCTCTCCCTTTCCCCTCAGCATGGCTGGCTCAGGAATTCTGGGAGTTGAAGTCCACGAGTCATAAAAGAGCCAAGGTTGCCTACCCCTCAACTAGGAGAACGAGCAAGATAAATACATGTGAAAAGCAGCTTTTATTTTTTCCCCCAATCCATTTTATCCTGGGTAAATTAACTAATATAAAAGGAATTATATAATACCTTAGATTAATATTCCTCAAAAGATGATGAAAGTGTCCCTCTCTTGCAATAGGAAACCTAATGCTTGCCCTTCCTTCCACAATAATGCTGAGCCCGAGCAGAAGCAATGCCTGCCAGGAGCTTAATGGCCAGAAACAAGCTACCTACTTCAATCACAATCAAAACTATAGCAAAGAAGCCTATTGTTCCTGCGTGACCATTGAGCCATCTGCTTAACTGGGGAACACAGCCTCCAAGGTAGATGGTGCTTTGAACTGCAACTTCCTCCATGCCCAGAGTGCCAAAGCCACACTGAGAATTCAGGATGGTACCATTTTCCAGTGGATTCAAACAACACGATGCAGGAACGCTGCAGGCTTGCACACCTGGAGAAGAGCAGTTAAAATACCTGTAAGTTAAAAAAAGGAAGAAACATTTCATTTTTAAGTTCATCACAAGGCACATCTCCCAGGCTTTTTCAGTGTCTCCTTCATCCTCCCAATGTAAGCCAGATCCCATGGCCAATCTTATCTGTGAATTCATTGGAATAAGATCTATATATGCAACAACAAGAACACATACACACACACACACACTGCTACTGGAATCCAGAGGCTCTAGCACAAATCATGCAGGATTCTATCCATATCTCGGTTTACCTTTTTTCTTCTTCATCTAATGGATAGTTCATAAAATCAGCTGTTAGACTGCTTGCTAGGACTCAAGCCTGCTGCAGTTACTCACGGAGCAATAAATACAACAATAAGTAATCTCTCCTAAGGAATCAGCTTGGGTCAAAAGTCCTAATTATAAAAACTCGTATTAACCAAGGAAGTCTTTGAACAAAAATTGTTCAAATTTTTTGACAATGTTCCTTGCAATATCTACTTATATTTGGTTTCTAAACTGACAAGAGCCCGTTCTGATAACATAACTTGAGTTCTTGAGATAGTGAAGTAGATCGAATTTAATCTCCACTCTCCTGAGCTGAATAGGCACCTGATATTGTTAAAGATGACTGGGCCAAGAATGTGTTCATAGATCTTATGTAAAGCTGCTTCACAATGAAAACTGCTTATTTCTATAATTACTGTAATCAGACATAATAAATTAATCAAATGGATTAGGAATTATCTAGAATATCTAACAAGTAAAGATGAAAACATATCATAGTGACTCTGCAGTAAACAAAGATACTAATATTTAAACAGCACGTATGGCCAGCCAAAAAACTGATCCAAAACATAAAAAATGGGAAAATACCTAAGCCAAAATGCAGTGAGCCATGCGCAGATCTGTACATTGGAGAAACAAAACAACTACTCCATAAACACATGACACAACATAGGAGAACAAACCCATCAGGACAAGATTCAGCAGTTCATCTGCATTTAACAAGCAAAGGCCACTCTTTTGAAGACAGCAAAGTCCACATTTTGGACAGAGAGGACCACTGGTTTGAAAGAAGGGTCAAAGAGGACATCTGTATCGAAACTGAACAGCCCTTTCTCAACAGAGTGGGAGGGATATGACATCTTCTATCTCCAGTTTACAACAGTCCTTTCAACAGTTCCAAGAAGGCTCCACACCCATTCGCACTACTCAGGTGATCTTGAGGACACAGATAAACCTCCAAGTGGCCTCAACAACTCTCTAAAAGAATGCAAATGACCAGCTGTCTGCAAGGAATATAAATCTTTCCATTCCCCGCCATCCAGTCAGAGCTGAAAAAGCTTCTTGAATGAGAAATGAAATGTCTTCAAAGGAAAAGCAAGCAAATCCAGTTGCCTAGTGAAAAAGCATCTTTGGGACAACTATGACCTGGATGACTGAGAATCTCCATAGACAACTAAACACAAAAATCCTAGGAAAGCTTGATGAACCATTCTACTCCAAGAAAAAAATGAAGGCAATACTGCTGAAGCAAAAGAGCCAGTCATTATTATCACACTGTTCTTCATCAGGATTATTTTAAGCAGCTCAGTAAGAAAGAATGTCAAGCAAGGCAACAGGAGAGATACATTATACCTTTATGTATAATGAAAACAAAGATTGTTCATAGCATATTTAACTGGAAGGTAATTACCAATTTGTTATCTAGTGCTTTTATATAAGCTGGTATTTTATATGAAGGGGCAAAAAAGAGATTCCTGTCTCAGTCTAACCAAACTAAGAATGAGGTGACTAACCTGCAAACCTACCAAAATTGTATAGGATTCCAGTTCTTATGGGCATGATTGGAGAGGATGCACATCATAATTCAGAACATGTGGGGAACTACCATGCCTAATTTTGGAGACCAAGACTGTTCTGGGAGATACTGACTTTTCATCATAATGCGCAGTGCTGCTTATTATAATTCTACAGGAATGCTCCTTTATATTTCTATCTAAAAACAATAAAATGCCTTGCATTGTTTCTAGATGGAAATATATAGAAGCATTCCTGAAATCAGACAGCAAATAGAACCATCCATTCACTCACATTAATTATACAAAGCTTACTTTGGCG